TGGTGCCGGGCTTGCGTCTGTACCGGGGGTGAATACGGGGCTCTGCTTACAGAGGCTCTCACACCTGCCCCTGGTGCCGGGCTTGCGTCTGTACCTGGGGGTGAATACGGGGCTCTGCTTACAGAGGCTCTCACACCTGCCCCTGGTGCCGGGCTTGCGTCTGTACCTGGGGACAGCTGTGCCCTGCAGCTCCTGCTTCGTGTTCTAGCACGAGGAGGCAGGTCACGTGACCGACCAATCAGGGCCCCACAGACGCCTGCTTCCTGAGGCCCCTTCTCCCTGAATCCTGAGGGTGTCCCTGCCTGCAGTCCCTGATGCCACACGGGGCCGGGGTGTTGGGCATATGTGAGCATAGCTCTCAGCGGGGTCCACGACATCAGTCCAGCTGCACAGGCTTCTTGTGAACGGAAAACGGAACCAGATTTACCCCAGGCAGCTTGCTGCTGTCATGTTTACCTTAAGTGTTGACTGACATTCCAGGTTTATCCGAAAAAAGGAACTGTTTTCCCCCCTGATCTTCAATCGTCAGAGCTGGCTAGGGTCAACACGGTGACAGGTGCTTCTGGTGACAGCCCAGAACAGGAGTTTAACCAGAGAATAGCGTCCAAGCTGGACACTGGGTGCCTGTGAAGAATCATGATTGGCGTAAAGTGGCAGAATGGCCTGACACTAAGTGTCTTGTCATAAGCGGAAAGCTGTAATAGTTTGGAATGGACTGTAGTTGGAACCACAACTACGATGAGCTGGCTGCTCCTGGTCATTTGCGCCTCTGGCCTTACGCTGCAAATGATCTTATCTTAGTCTTTCCCTTTGCAGCCCCCACTGCCCCGCACGCTGAGTGGCATCTGAGTGGTGTGTGTGAGGTCTGGAGGAGAGAAGTGGGTGGACGGGCCATTAGGAGCAGGTACAGCACGAACTCCAGGGCCCTGAGGTGGACCAGAGTTACCAAGTTAGGAATGCTCTTGCTTTAGTCTCCGTCATTTATGACCCAGGTAGCAAAACGGGCCAGAAATGGACCTCCCCCTAGAGTTGCCCCTTATCTTGCTGCTTCTTTGTGTTTAAGAGTAAAGGGTCTTGTTGGAAATACTTTTTCTCGAAAGAACAAGGGAACCTCACTAATTTGTGTATTGCTTGTAGGTCCTGAAGAATTCAACTATTTGATTTAAAACTACTAAAACAATACCCACTTTTCAGATACACAAGGCCATATGGTATAGTACAAAAAATATATGCACGTTCTCCTGACTTTCATTTGACATTGACAATAAATTCAAACGTTTTCTGGCAGCATGAAGGGAGCAGTTTCTCCTTTTTAACTAAGGAGTAAGTGGGCACATCGCCCGCGTGCTCCACACGTCAGTTTTCTTTGCTGCAAGACAAGGCGTTGGTTTAAATGACCCTAAGGTCCCAGCAAGCTGTCAACGTCTGTGAATCTATGCTTTTTTCCAATAATGTTAACATGTGGGTTTTTCCTTGTTTTTCATATTCTCTAAATTTTCTTTAGTGTGCATGTTTTGCTTTTTAATGTAAAATAGACCTTTAAAAGGAAAAGCAGAGACCAAATTGAAACATTTTGTCCTCTCTCAGGTCCTGGATTCTGTGCAGAAAAAGCATTTCTGTGCTAAACAATTACTTATTTCCTCTCTCGTGATGTTTCATCACTGATGAGAAAAGGCGCAGCGTTGACCCTGATTCGGTGTTTTGTTCTCGCAGTTGCAGTGCTTCCCTCAGCTGACCAGCGGCGTCCTTCCAGCTCTGGATAAGAAGAAGCACCACTGTCATCCCAAGAAGCTGGACTGTCGCTTTCCAAACATCTAAGGAGCTTGGAGATTGATGATAAAAAAGCATTACTCGATAATTTGAAAAAATGAAACACACATTTGATTGAAATGACAATGTTGAAACATCATCAGGAGAAAACAGAAGTAACTAACTGGGGGCAGCCACTTGGCAGGATCCGAAGGGAGATTCGGAGGCAGACTTCCATGTGTGATGGTCGTGTCCAGGACAGCAGGGAAAAGGGTGCTGGGATTTTCACTTGTGTTTTTGTTGTATCTAAGTAGCTGAGCTTATGGACAGAATATAAACTGTATCTAACTACTGCCCATACCTCCAGCACATTAGAGATGTGAAAAAGATTTGTGCTTCCATTGTACCATGTGCAACAAGTGACAAATGGATTCCAGAACACACACATTTCCTTGGATCTCTGTTGCCTTGAGTCCTATCCCCTGCCTTTTCAGATTGTCTCAACATCATATTTGAGAATTTTAGTTCTTGAAATCAAAATGTTTAAATTCCGTTTCTTGCTTGCTCTCTTTTGATTTTTATATTTTAAAACATTTTTTGGAATATTTAAGAGTTGCTCGAAATATTTAAAATCATGGATTATCATAAAAGTGTAGTTTATATGCTTACCTATTTAATGACATGGTTATAGATATTTCTTACATATGCTTTGTCTTTAGTAAAGGACGTGTCTTAGTCCTTTTGCTGGGAGATGGATTTACTATAATCCATCTACGTGGGTCACCCAGTTCCCCTTGCAAACAGAGGCAAGAGGCTCGATGGCTGATCACGGTGATCGAGGAGGAGAACAAGACCTACAGGCTTCGCAGGAACTGGGCCTGTCAGCCTGAAAGTAATGAGCACTTCCCTCTGTCCAGCTCAGCCTCTGACCTGGAGACAGAGTGACAGGCAGGACTGCCTATAGTGATCTGGGTTTTGGAAGACGCTGCTTGTGAGCTTTTACTTGGGTCATGAAAGACATTAGGTTGTAAATTGATGTTTTCCCTGAAATATCTTTTTACACTATATGTATGTATGTCTGTATGTGTATCTATAAACACACGCTCATGAATATATGTGTGTATATACCATCTTGACTAGAAGATAACAACTAATAAGAAAGTAGTCCAAAATGCTATTATTGAGGATTCCTAGCTTTGATCTGGCCTGTTGCTCCTATTCGGAAAGCTTTTTCCTGCCTGTTCCCTGGATACCAGGCAACATGGGGCTCGTGTCTGTCTCTTACAGCTCAATGCCACTTTGGCTGACGTGCTGCTATTTCTAGCAGTTCTCAGCCGTGGTTTCTGAAGTTGTACGTTACTGTATCTTCAAAACATTTCTCCTGCACTCTCAGTTTACTGCTATGTTGATTTTCTTCATGAGAGCATTTGACCCTGTCCACTCAGTGCTAAGTAATCCACGAAATTCTGCCATCTGTTCAAAAATTCTGGCTCCCCCAGCCCGTTCAGTGACACTCTATGGCTCCCTGATGTCTGCAGCTCCTTGCACAGAGCTGACAGTGGACTGAATACAAGTCCCAGGATTATCTGATTCTTGCTATGCAGCCTTGATTCAGATGACAAGGAAGGACATCCAACTTCCGTGAGTGGTTTACATTTTTTCCTTCTTAACCCAAAACAATGCACTTGACGAGGCAGATGACTATAACTGCTGAAATCCAGTAGTTTTACAGAAAACCATTCTGAACAGAAAAGTAGCTCCAGACTAAACTGTGGCGAATTGCTTGTCTCACCACACAGTAATCAAACCTGAGACAGAAGTGCTCATTTTTTCCTCAGGAATTCTATTAAATGTGTGCTTATGCTTAATTTAACCATATCTGTAACCCTTTCTTCAACACGGAATCACCAGTTTCATGAGACAGTTCTACATCCTCGTCTTTTTGTTTAATTTACCATTTTCTGATTTTTTAAATGACAGTGGCAACTATATTAGTAAATAGTGTACCATTTATGGTGTGTGCTATTTACATTAGCTGGTTTCTAAACACAAATAAAATTAATTTTTCTATCAGAATGTTGCATCATAGCAAGTGTTTATTTTAAAATTATTTCCACAGCTTAATGTTCCAACCAGCAGTTGAAATAATTCCAACAGCTTAATGTTCAAACCAAACACATAGAAGTCCACAAAAGTTGGGAAATAACAATAACAGAATCAGGGCCATTTCGAGCAGGTAAAAAGAAAGGTCTGTTTTTATCTACTTATGATATTATCACTGCTTTCTAGATGTAAATTGAATTTTGTGTTTACATTTCTTTTTGATGTCCCTTGAGGACATAGGAAGTAGTAGCCAACATATATGAGGGAATAAAAATTAGTTTCTAATTGACAGGTTAAAATGTTCTGTTTAAAGCAGTTTTTTAATTTAAGCAAAGAGTAAGGAAAGCTGTGCTGGTCTTCATGACTGTTCCCTCTGTTCCATTGCAACCAGCAAAACTATGTGAATTCAGCCAAGTATTTATGTCTACTTTTAAAAAACTTTACACACAGAAAAAATTACACACAGAAAAAAACACCAGACTAAGCTTACAAAACAGACGAGGTAGCCAGAAGCTATTCATTCAGAAACAGTGTATGTTATAAAGAACACAAGAATGCAGGATCATGCGACGTGTGCAAATCCTGAGAGCAATGTGAATCGTCAACCAGACTACTTTGCATACCTGACTCATTCATCAATGAAGTTTAGCTTTCATGTTTTCATAATTGTACATTTATAGTAACATGCTTCAATAACTTTCAAGTAAAATGTAACATAAATTAGTATTAAAATACAATAAAGAATATCTACATCAAGATATCTACATAGATATCTATATAAAATGAGGACGATATTACAATTAAAATGCTACCTGATTTACATTTTTCTTAAATGATTTAATGTACATAAATTCTCACTTTCAACTTAGTAACTTTAATGAGTCACGTCTGAATATTTATTTTCTACATGATGGACTCTGCTTCTAAAATGTCATATGACCTCCGTATAGTTTTATTGATGATTATATAATATTTGTTGCTGTTTAGGATCACCAATTTCAAATGATACTTCGAATTGAAATAAGATACTTATTGAATGTTATTATTTTACTTCAAATCTAATTTTAGTTCCAGGGAAGGCAATGCTGTTTTAAAGAGTTGGACAAGGTTTTCTTTTTCTCTTATTCCAGGAAGATCACTTAACAACAAATACTTGAGGTTTCTGCAAAAAGAGAAAGGAAAAAAAGTTACTTCAGTTTGGCCTTTACTCATAGCATTAAAATAAACTTGATTTATTGACTTTTAGAAAAAATTACACACAGAATGTGTTTCTATCACCCTACACTTTCAAAATGACTTTAGAACAGTCATTTTAGAGCACAACTTTAAATGAATTCATGCTAGGAATGAAGCCAGACTTTGGACAGTTTAGTTCTACTGAATGACATCAATAATTCTAGCTGAACCCTTCCAAATACTAGATGTATATCATGGCACAGAAGTCCTTTGCATGTGAAATATAAAATATGAATCTTAATCCAGAAAGGGAAAAAAACTGGGCAAGTTCTTAAAGGAACTCAAGTGTCTATTAAAAGATGAAGCCTCAACTAACATACAAGACAATCTGGTACTTTTCGTTCTAATGTTTAAAGTTTCCCAAACTTCCTGTGATACTGAGGGTCCTGGCAGAACATGGGGAAACGTAAAAGGGGGCGAGGACACCAACAGCAGTGCTTATCGAGAGCCGACTGCGCCAGGCACCAGGCTGGGTGCTTTGTGTAGATGCAACTTTTTAAAAAGATGCTCCCTAAAAAGTGCAATAAAACCACAACGTATTAAGAGTGATAATTTTAACTGTTTTCAAGTAGTACAGATGAAAGTTAAGTCATTTTCTTAAATTACATTTTTCAGAACTAAGAAAAGATACCACCTCTCAACTGTTTTCACTTCTGATTACTCACCTGAACATCATGGTCAAGTCTCCCTTTGGGCACTGACCACCCACCTTAGATGATGCAAAGCAATGATGCCTTTGTCTGTGACATTCCCACATGAAACTATTTCCATTTCCAACACGGTTTTTTGTAAGTTTTCAAGTTGACTAAGTCTCTCCAAACAGGCATCCTCGATGTAATGACACTTGCATAGCCTTATTTTTTCCACATGCTGTAGGCCTTCTGGGGAAAACAAGTGGAGTTTAAGAATCCGCTGTAGCTTTAAGATGACCAATTGTCCGAATTTGCCCAGGACTATTCTGGTTTTAGGACTGAATGTGCCATGTCCTGGGGAGTCTCTTAGTCCCAGGAAAACTGGAACGATTAGTCAACCTACTAACCATACAAGGTTACAGGCTTACAGCACAGCCCACCACACAGGCTGTGCTGATGGACAAGGCCATTCTGTAATCAGAAGCCCACGCTCCGGAGGACAGAAACACCCGCATGGGCAGAAGCTGTGTGGGTATGATTACTCTTACATTATTGAGGGTTTCTCAATGATGGAAGTTTGACAAAGACATCTTGATAAAGACGGCCTTGAATTTTAAGTCAATAAACCACAGAATAAAGGCACGTAGAGACAAGCTTAACGGGGGGAGAAAAGAGAGGAAGGTGTTTGTAATCCCTATTTGATTTAAAAATAAATATCACACACAGGAAGAAACAAACTGGATTGTACTGAAAAGGGCACAAAAGACACACCTATAACAGTGAGTCAACTGTGACAAAACGTCACCTCGAATTACGGCATTTCCCATAAGCAAAGGACTGGGTAGTTACCCATGTGATCAAACCCAATGTTCATGATACAGGAGTCAGTGGCATCGATCGCCTGAATCTTGTATTTGTCCAGAGGGCCTGTCGGGAGGTGGTTGTAGTCCTTCTGCCACCTCTCCTGGCCGCGGTAGCGCACCATGGCCCCACAGCGCAGCAGCCACTCGGACGCCGCCCTGTCGGGGCCGACATCCCTGATGCGTTCATGATCCACTCTGTTGGCCGGAGGACAAAAGCATTTAGGTTTTCCTGTAATCGCTCGCTTCTTAACTAGATTCACCAAACACATACAGAATAGCAACAACTTTTCATTTCAAATCACTGCGGAGGGAGAGAAGGATATCAGTGAGATCCATGCAAAAAACATACGATGGCGCCACCCACTACTTTTTGTGCTTTTGTTTTTGTTTCCAAGTGAATTCTGTGGAGACAGGCTATTCTGATACGAGCTTATCAGGCAGACATGAGTCTTCATTGGTTTGCATGCAGCACAGTAGCTTGACACCAGGAGGTACTCAGTAACTGTGTGCTGAATGAGTGACTATACTTGGTTATCGTTTTTATTAATGGTAAAAGATTAAAGAGAGAATAATTTTGAACTTTTATCCAAATTAATGTCATTAAGCGATATTTATTAATGTCTACGTATGCCTTTTTCTCTAGTTAGCGGTATTAATGCTATACTAAACAACGAGGTTAGTTTCATTAGTTTCACAATATTTCTAAGCATGCCACCTACTCACTTTTTAAAAACTTGAGTTTCCTGGATAGTATTCAAAAGGCTAACTATATCCCTTAAGAAGCCATAGAATAATATATTCTGAAATCACATTTACTGAGCTTTTCTTATTATAAAAGTAATAAACGTTCATTTTAGAAAACCTGAAAGCCATCAAAAGGACAAATGAGAAAAATTACTGAAATCCTGCACCCCAGACAGTCACAGTTCATAGTTTGCAATCTGTTTTTCTGGTCTTTATTCATTGCTTGTGTGTATGTTTTATTTGTTTGTTTTTAAACAAAATTAGGATCATACTGCACACATTGTACAAAAAACATCTGAAATACAAGAAATAACCAAATCAGCTACTGGGAGCTCATCAAGCTGCAACAATCCCCACGCTGCTTCACTTTGGTGGAGTAACTTACTTATTGAACACTGCGTTCAGCCAGCCCCAGAAGGGCCTGGAGTCACATGACCACGGGACTTTCTTTAAGCCACACAACTGCCGGGAAATGTTTCCAAACAGCATCCTGCGATCTAGACACATGACAGGATTCGTGTTAGGTCATCAGTTGCAATCCGAGTCCCACATGCACAGTAACACACGCCACACGTTCAGTCAACGCTCCTGTGCCATGAAGCTGCTGACTCACTTGTCCCTCAAGAGGTACTGGGCAAGTCACTCCTGTCTCTGTTTCTTGGTTTCTTTTGCTGCAAAAACGAGGGGCTGAACTGGACAGTCTCTATGGTTCCTTCCAGCCTTGATGTTAACGTTCCATTGTTCAGTCCACAAGCCTGCAGTGTTGCCACCTGGTGTCTGCTCAGGCAGCGCGCCTACAGGCTGAAACCAGCTCCACTCTCAATCTGCATTTCCAGCATCAACGTGACGAACAAAACCACCAGGGACAGTGAGTCGAGGTTAAGATGCTCACATGCAGGAAGAGGGAGGAGACATGGAGCAGACTCCCCAGGACAGGCTGCAGCAGCGTCACCACTACAGTCAGAGCACAGCCAGGGCAGCCGGAGAGACTGGGCAGGCAGGGCCACCTCTCCCACCCTGGGCGTTCTCGTCTGTAAGACGAGATGATTAGCTCAGACGATTTCCAGCTGTAAAAATCTAGAACCATGAGTTGAGAAAGTGATTTCTGAATTGGGTCTCCACCTGATTTATCTCAATTTGAGTTTCTCTAGTAGTGTGCCCGGCGGGGGGAGACAAACAGAAATGAAAGGTGGTCTCTGCCTTTGAGGAGCTGACAACGGAATTCAGGGTGCAGTGAGCTAAAACTCAAAACACATGATAGAACCCGATAAATACCTCAGAAGAGTTAACATAAAGACAGACCAGGGTTTCAACAGACAAAGATGCCAGGGAAAGGTCTGTCAGGGGATTAGCTGTGGCAGGAACATCTAAGGGTGTCATAGTTCAGTTTGGTCAGCACGTGGGATCATGGGAAGAGAAGGCAGACAGTTTAAACAGTCACGTCAGGAAGGATCGGGCACCATCAGCCAGGGACGTGGACTGTCCTCTGCAGGCAGCTGGGAGTCACCGAGGTTTTAGCACAGAGCACTGGCAGTGTTGGAGCTGTGCTTCAGGAATATTACTCAGACAGCAGCATCAAGATCGAGGGTCCATAGAACAGGACAGAGGGACAGCCAACAAGGGCTTCAACTACATGTGGCCACGGGAAAAGCTGAGTGGGGAAGAACGGGATGACATTACAGAGGGCATTCCACAGGACTCAGTGAGGGACACATACGGGCAGGGCCGGAGGAGTTGAAGACAACACTAAGTTTTGGTCCTGGGACACTGGTAGACGGTGATGCCATTAACAGAAATCAGGGTTGTGGGTTTAGGTTCCCCCCCACCCCCAGTTTTTCATATTCTACATATGAAGTGTTGGCAGAACTTGTAACTGGGGATGACCAACAAATCATCAGAATCAGAGGCACAAAATGGTAGAGCTGGAAGGAACTCAGATCACCTAGACTAAACCTCTCACTTAGAGATGAGGAAACAGAAGCCCTGATATTAAGTAACTTGCTGACACCCTAAATCCTTTCTGGAACAAGGTGGGGTATTAATAAATGCATGTGTTTAAAAGGACTTGCCCAGTGTTTCATGCCTGATTGGTGACAGTGCTGAAATGCAAACCTAGTTTCTCTCCTACCAGTCCAGGGCTCTTTCCTCAGTCACTGGATGGTTCTAGAACTCAGGAAAAGAAGAGGACTAGCAAGAGGCCTGAGTGGGAACCGTCCTACAGCTGAGGAAGTGACCAAGGCTGCTGAGGGATGAGGTCTGAGGAAGGAACCTGGACTCACCTGCCTTCTCCTCCCTTCTCCATCAGCACCCCGCCTTCCTCACTGCACACCTCCCCGACTACTGCTCTCCCACTCTCGGCCCTTTCCAGCTTTCTGTTGGAGCTCTCTCTACCTGTGCCCACCTCTAACAGCTCCACTTCATTTGCACATCCGGGCTTTCCGGCTTCAATGCAGCCTGCTCCCTCTATTTACGGTCCCTTCCCACCCCGCCAATCCTGACTGTGGAAATCATACCCAATCTCAAGACCTTATTCAAATACGATCTCCATCCAGCTATCCATTCATTCACTCAATAAATATTTATTGAATGTCTGCTATGCTTAGTGCAAGAGATACAATGATAAGACGAAACAAAACAAAAACAAGACAAGGAGATATGGAGAAAAACATTCCCGTCCTCATAGAACATATAGCCTCATGAAGAAGACAGACAACATATAAACAAACAAATAACATGGTGTGTTACTAGAGGGATGAACAAGTCTGCGAGAGCCTGGGGGGGAGGGGAAGGCTTCACATTAGAGGCGTCCTTTGAGATGGGTCTTAAATGACGATTAAGAGTTTCCAGTTGGGCAGAAAAAGAAAAGTATGCAGAACGACGGGAAGAGCAAGGATCACGTCTTATTCTTTCCATTGTTCTTAGCACCCGGAACAGTGCCATCTCCCTATGGAGATGGCATACACCCTGAGGCAAGAGTGTATTAAATATTTGCTAATTAATGGTCTTCAATAGTTGGTATATTTCCATGGAGAAAGGGAAAACCAGAGAAATTGTTACTGAGCAGGTAGATAGAGTGGTCTGAAAACTGAGGTACCTTCACTTGATTCATTTGGCCTACCCTAAAATTCAGCTGTGAGCTCTAAAAATACTATCATATTTAAAATAATTTAAACATAAAAATCAAATTTTTATTTGGCAATAAGGGTAAAAAAATAAATTGGTAGGTTTTTACATTCTCAACTGTGACTTTGCTAATTGATTTCAGGAATTTCAGAGGAATTCAAGCAGCAGCCTCTGGGAATGCGTTCTACAGGGAAAGAGGAGACCTCTACTGGTGAGCTGGTGAATTTAGCTCTAACGAATTAGAAGAAATCAGTTAAAAAGCAAGTTAAAAAATAACCGCTACTAAATTACTGCTGTGATAAATAACTCAGGAATTAAAATCATTAAAAAATAAAATCAAACTTCTTACTATCAGAACATGGCTTAGGGCCATAAGTTTGTAACAGATGTTTCTAAAAGTTGCAATTATGTTTGTGACTTAGAGAGGGGCAGACCTCTAATGTGGGACCCAAAATAGGATATATACAGTGTGGTTTGAGTATCTGAGTGGTTTGATTGAGAGTTCTGTTTGCACAAAAACATTAAAATTTTTTTTTTAAGTGAAAGTTCTGATTTACATATTAAATGTAATTACTTAGGTAGGCTATTCAAAGTGATGGCTAACTTAGTGGTCAAAAAGACTGAACTAGCAAACTAGTTCTTGAGGGTGGTAAAAATGTGGAGAGAGGGGTGGGTGGTATCAGAATTGGGGAGATTTTTCCCAAATTACAGCCTGTCTCACTGCAAATCACCCATTATTGATGCCAATTTTTATTTCTGACGTGTGTAGAGTCTAATGAAATAGAACAGAATAATTCATTAGGAATTGGAAGTGAAGGTCACAAAGGCCTTTCCTAGGCTGACATCACACGGCACTCGTTGAACTCATGTCCTACAGGTTCTGACACAGATGGAAGATGAACATGAATTCTCAACTGAGGAGGGTGGTATCATGAATACAAATGTCTCCAGCCAAAGACACTGCAGGGCGTATGAGTGTAAGGTGGGCTCTTGATTTGAAATTACTGAATTGAAACAAATTAATGTATAGTCAGGCATTGCTTAACGACAGGGATAGGAGAAACGCATTGTTAGGCAATTTCCTTGTTGTGCAAACATCATAAAGTGTACTTACACAAGCCTAGATGGTACAGCCTACTACACACCTAGGCTATATGGTACTAATCTTACGGGACCACTGCCATATAAGCAGTCCGTCGTTGACCGAAATGTCATTATGCAGTGCGTGACTGTACAAACCCAAGGGAGAGGGTAAGCAGAAAAAATTTTATTAAAAAGGCTTGTGTATTGTGAGTTCTCTCCCCTTGCTAAACTAAGAAGCACACACTCAAAATCACAGAGTAGTAAAAATGTCACTACTACAGGCCCAGGTGGCCCACGAAAGTCTGACCCTAGAAGTAAGTGTATCATTCTGTATTCAACCTAGTAACAAGTCAACTACATCCTGTGCAAACTAAAAAATAGCCGTCTCCACTACATAGCTAGCTTTAGAATGGTTAAAATGAAAAACAGTGACAATGAGGAGAAAGTGATCACTCAAACCTTGCTGGTGGGAATGTAAAGAGGTACAGCCACTTTAGAAAACAGTCTGGCAGTTTCCTACAAAACTAAACATGTGCTTAGCATATGACCCAGCAAGTGGACTCTCGGCATTTATCCCAGAGAAGCAGAAAACAGGTTCACACAAAAAGCTGTACACTAATGTTCACAGTAGCTGTATTCAAAATAGCTAAAAACTGGACACAACTCAGATGTCCTTTAGGGGGTGAATGGTTAAACATACCGTGGCACCGCCATACCATGGAATACTACTCAGCAGTAAGAAGGAATGAATTATCGATACATGCAACAATTTGGATGGATCTCAAGGGATTATGCTGAGTGAAAAAAGCCAATTCCCAAAAGTTATGTACTAAATAATTCTGCTCATATCACATTCTTGAAATGACACAATTTTAGAAAGGGAGAACAGACTGGGGAAGAGGGTGCCTTGCAGGAGGGAGGTGGTTATAGAAGGACAATGGGGGGGGAAGCGGGTGTGTGTGTGTGTGGGGGGGATTCTTGTGGTGAGGGAACCATGCTGCAGCTTGACTGCGGTGGTGGATAAAGCAATCCACACACATGGCAGAAACTATATAGAAGCAAATGCACACACAAATGTAACAGTGGGGAAATCAGAGTGAGATCAGTAGACTGGTCAATGTCAATTTCCTGGTTGTGACACTGTAACAGTTTTGCAAAGTGTTATCCCTGGGGGATACTGGGTGAAGGGTACACAGGATCCCTACTGTTTCTTACAACTGCATGGAAATTTACAACGACCTCAAAACAAAAAATTGAACTAAAAAAAGAACTATCTCGTTTTTTCATTTGTGATGGAACACGCAGGTAACATTCTACATTGTTTTCACAAATAAAGCAAAATATGTACAACTGTGGAGGAGGTAAACCCATTTAAACATAACAAAAGCATTCATTTACGGAGAACTACCCCGTGCTAACCACCCGCGGAGCCTCATCTCCTGCAATGCCACACCAGCCCTATGGGGAGACACTGCCATTACTCCAGTTCCCAGAGGAGGGTCAGAGGCAAAGGGGTGAAGTGACTTCTCCAAGGCCCTGACTAACAACCGGAACCAAATTCAAACAAAGGCCTTCCAGCAAGAAAATGATATCATTCTATCTTTGTTCTGTTCAGCTGTCCTGACCCTAAAAGTTAAACTGCCATCAGTACAGAGAACGGTGTTGGTTCAACTGGCGCGGTGACAGAATCACCTAATTTCACACAGTTGGAAAGTCTCAGAGACTACACAGCCCAGCTCCCTCATTTCACAGAGAAGGGAGCAGCGCTGAAGGGACCGGACAGGAGGGTCGCTGCCCCCGGCCCGCACAGCATCTCGGCCCCGGATCTAAGACGAGGACACGTACTGGTAGGTGATGGCCGAGACCCAGCCGTCTGTCCCCTACGTGCTCCGCAGTCACAGGACCAGGAAGGACCGGAGCCCACAAAGTCCAGAGACTGCAGGCACCGGGGGTGGCGCGGGCGGGACAGCGCGCCCTGCAGCGGGCTCCGCGCCGGGCGGGGGCGGGGCCTCGAGCCGGGGGCGGGGCCTCGAGCCGGGGGCGGGGCAAGGGAGGCTGCTGGGCACGCCCAAACGAGAGTTTTCACCGTCATCACGCTCAGATTTCCTCCCGCGGCCCCGAGTCCGCTGGGCGGTAAAGGTCGAAGGCACGGGCCCGGCTTCGGCCAGGCCGGGGTCAGGAGAGGGAAAGGGCAGAGCGTCACCACCACCCCAGCCCCGCCCCGCTCGGGCCTCGCTCCCCGACTCACAGCGTCGCAGGGAGGGAGAGAGCGAGCCGGCGTCCCCGCGTCGACTGCGGCGCGGCCTGCCCTTCGCCCTCTGCCGCGCGCGCCCATTGGTCACCGGCGGCGCCCCCACGTGGGTGAAGGCGCGCGTCTGATTGGCTCCTGCGTGGGGGCGGGGCTCGAGAGCGCGGGGTCCGCAGAGTCGGGCTGACAGGGGAGGGGGCGCCGGCCATGGTGCCCGCGCTGCGCTACCTGGGCGGGGCCTGCGGGCGGGCCCGCGGGGGCTTCCCGGGGGCCTTCTCCGCGGGGTGCGGGCCCGCGCCGGGGGGGCCCTGGCTGCTGTGCCGCGGTGGCCGCAGGGCCAGCACCAGGTGAGTAGCCGTCGGCCCGCCCCGCCGCTCGCGCTGCTGCCTCCAGGTGCCTCGTGCGGGCCTGTGTCCCTATTCTCCCCCCCGCCCCTGTGTCCCTATTCCACCCCCAGCCCCTATTCC